GGTCGAGACAAAACGCGATATATGCGATTTTGCTCAAAATCACACTATAGGTACTCCTGAGTATGCCGAGTCCGGTCCTATGATCGACAGTTCGATTGCAGAATAAATAGTGTCGTAATGATGCTTGGACTATTTTAATGAAATTTTCACATGCTTATTTCAGTACCTCCAATTATTGGTTTCTCAGGTATTTGGTTGGTGTTGTTATGTTCTTCTGGATGTACTTAATTTGAAATTAATCCCACCAAATTTCATAGAGAAAATCATATTTGGGTGGAAAAACGCATAAGGGGGGACCCTTACGATTTTTTTTCCAGGGTCGAGACAAAACGCGATATATGCGATTTTGCTCAAAATCACACTATAGGTACTCCTGAGCATGCCGAGTCCGGTCCTATCATCGACAGTTCAATTGCGGGATAATTAGTGGTCGTAATGATGCTTGGACTATTTTAATGAAATTTTTCACAATGCTTATTTCAGTACTCTCCAACTATTGGTTTCTCAGGTATTTGGTTGGTGTTGTTATGTTCTTCTGGATGTACTTAATTTCTGAAATTAATCCCACCAAATTTCATGTCTGAGAGAAAATCATATTTGGGTGGAAAAACGCATAAGGGGAGACCCTTACGCGTTTTTTCCAGGGTCGAGACAAAACGCGATATACGCGATTTTGTTCAAAATCACAGTATAGGTACTCCTGAGCATGCCGAGTCCGGTCCTATCATCGACAGTTCGATTGCGGAATAATTAGTGGTCGTAATGATGCTTGGAATATTTTAATGAAATTTTTCACAATGCTTATTTTAGTACTCTCCAACTATTGGTTTCTCAGGTATTTGGTTGGTGCTGTTATGTTCTAATGGATGTACTTAGTTACTGAAATTAATCCCACCAAATTTCATGTCTGAGAGAAAATCATATTTGGGTTTAAAAACGCATAAGGGGGGACCCTTACGCGTTTTTTCCAAGGTCGAGACAAAATGCGATATATGCGATTTTGCTCAAAATCACACTATAGGTACTCCTGAGCATGCCGAGTCCGGTCCTATCATCGACAGTTCGATTGCGGAATAATTAGTGGTCGTAATGATGCTTGGAATATTATAATGAAATTTTTCACAATGCTTATTTCAGTACTCGCTTATTATTGGTTTCTCAGGTATTTGGTTGGTGTTGTTATGTTCTAATGGATGTACTTAATTACTGAAATTAATCCCACCAAATTTCAAGTCTGAAAGAAAATCATATTTGGATGGAAAAACGCATACGGGTACCCCCTTACGCGTTTTTCCAGGGTCGAGAGAAAACGCGATATATGCGATTTAGTTCAATATGACAGTATAGGTACTCCTGAGCATGCCGAGTCCGGTGCTATCATCGACAGTTCGATTGCGGAATAATTAGTGGTCGTAATGATGCTTGGAATATTTTAATGAAATTTTTCACAATGCTTATTTCAGTACTCTCCAACTATTGGTTTCTCAGGTATTTGGTTGGTGTTGTTATGTTCTTCTGGATGTACTTAATTTCTGAAATTAATCCCACCAAATTTCAAGTATGAGAGAAAATCATATTTGGGTGGAAAAACGCATAAGGGGGGACCCTTACGCGTTTTTTCCACGGGCGAGACAAAACGCGATATATGCGATTTTGCTCAAAATCACACTATAGGTACTCCTGAGCATGCCGAGTCCGGTCCTATCATCGACAGTTCGATTGCGGAATAATTAGTGGTCGTAATGATTCTTGGAATATTTTAATGAAATTTTTCACAATGCTTATTTTAGTACTCGCTAATTATTGGTTTCTCAGGTATTTGGTTGGTGCTGTTATGGTCTATTGGATGTACTTAATTACTGAAATTAATCCCACCAAATTTCATGTCTGAGAGAAAATCATATTTGCGTTTAAAAATGCATAAGGGGGGACCCTTACGCGTTTTTTCCAGGGTCGAGACAAAACGCGATATACGCGATTTTGTTCAAAATCACAGTATAGGTACTCCTGAGCATGCAGAGTCCGGTGCTATCATCGACAGTTCGATTGCGGAATAATTAGTGGTCGTAATGATGCTTGGAATATTTTAATGAAATTTTTCACAATGCTTATTTCAGTACTCTCCAACTATTGGTTTCTCAGGTATTTGGTTGGTGCTGTTATGTTCTAATGGATGTACTTAATTACTGAAATTAATCCCACCAAATTTCATGTCTGAGAGAAAATAATATTTGGGTGGAAAAATGCATAAGGGGGAACCCTTACGCGTTTTTTCCAGGGTCGAGACAAAACGCGATATATGCGATTTTGCTCAAAATCACACTATAGGTACTCCTGAGCATGCCGAGTCCGGTCCTATCATCGACAGTTCGATTGCGGAATAATTAGTGGTCGTAATGATGCTTGGAATATTTTAATGAAATTTTTCACAATGCTTTTTTCAGTACTCGCTAATTATTGGTTTCTCAGGTATTTGGTTGGTGCTGTCATGTTCTAATGGATGTACTTAATTACTGAAATTAATCTCACCAAATTTCATGTCTGAGAGAAAATCATATTTGGGTGGAAAAATGCATAAGGGGGGACCCTTACCCGTTTTTTCCAGGGTCGAGACAAAACTCGATATACGCGATTTAGTTCAAAATGATAGTATAGGTACTCCTGAGCATGCCGAGTCCGGTGCTATCATCGACAGTTCGATTGCGGAATAATTAGTGGTCGTAATGATGCTTGGAATATTTTAATGAAATTTTCCACAATGCTCATTTCAGTACTCTCCAACTATTGGTTTCTCAGGTATTTGGTTGGTGCTGTTATGTTCTAATGGATGTACTTAATTACTGAAATTAATCCCACCAAATTTCATGTCTGAGTGATAATCATATTTGGGTGGAAAAACACATAAGGGGGGACCCTTACGCGTTTTTTCCAGGGTCGAGAGAAAACGCCAAATATGCGATTTTGTTCGAAATCACAGTATAGGTACTCCTGAGCATGCCGAATCCGGTGCTATCATCGACAGTTCGATTGCGGAATAATTAGTGGTCGTAATGATGCTTGGACTATTTTAATGAAATTTTTCACAATGCTTATTTCAGTACAGTTTTACCCCGCTTAACGCGCTTTCACTTAACGCGTTTTCGCATATACGCGGTGCCTTGCCAAAGCTGAACTTTCACTTAACGCGGGTTTTTTCCACATATACGCGGTGAGTGTCCGGCTCGGATGCTATTTTTAGATTTTGCCCACGCGCCACCCACCCGCCCGCCTGCCTGCCTGCCTCTCCCTCCTCCTCCCTCCGCTTGGGTAAGCGGCGCGGTAAGGTTGCGCAGTTTGTGTCTTTGTTGCGTTATCACTGACGTCATATGACGTCTCGGACTGTGATTGGCCATGCAGCCCTACCCCCCTCTGCTGCTAGCTGTAATTGGCTTAAAGTATTATGACGTGACTACCCCGGGGAGGGAGGAGAGACGTCGCTTGACCTAGCCGCGGCAGTTTCATCCCTCAAGGCTACGCCGGGTTAACGCGCATCCAGCCGTCAGCAAAGCATAACCGAGTTCTTCGCCCGCAACCCACCACAGCCAGCCCAAGCCAGTGATAGTGAAGTTGATTTTGAGGGATTTGTCAGGGAAGCCATGACAACTGTAAGTGACAGTGATATTGATTCACCTAGTAATGGTGATTCACCTGAGGGGCAGTAATCTGCCCTCTGCCTCGGAACCAGCCTCCATCCCCGTATGCCGACCCATCTCTTCTACTACCGTGAGTGTTCCTCAAAAATTTTCGTTTTTTAACCTATTCTTTATTTTTCCTATGTTAACCTTTATCTTTCCTAACCTAACCTCTTCTATATTACTTGTTTTTCATGCCACCATAAAGTTAAGATAGAATTTTTACTACAACATAGTTATTTGTCGTCAAAAAGTGGAGTTTGGGGGTCGGGCTGGGTTCTATTGAAATTAATCCCATATGTTCTGTTATTCACTTAACGCGGTTTTCACTTAACGCGGGACCCTCTGGGTTCAATTGACCGCGTTAAGTGGGGTACAACTGTACTCGCTTATTATTGGTTTCTCAGGTATTTGGTTGGTGTTGTTATGTTCTTCTGGATGTACTTAATTTCTGAAATTAATCTCACCAAATTTCAAGTATGAGAGAAAATCATATTTGGGTGGAAAAACGCATAAGGGGGGACCCTTACGCATTTTTTCCAGGGTCAAGACAAAACTCGATATACGCGATTTTGTTCAAAATCACAGTATAGGTACTCCTGAGCATGCCGAGTCCGGTGCTATCATCGACAGTTCGATTGCCGAATAGTTAGTGGCCGTAATGATGCTTGGAATATTTTAATGAAATTTTCATAATGCTTATTTCAGTACTCTCCAACTATTGGTTTCTCAGGTATTTGGTTGGTGCTGTTATGTTCTAATGGATGTACTTAATTACTGAAATTAATCCCACCAAATTTCATGTCTGAGTGATAATCATATTTGGGTGGAAAAACGCATAAAGGGGGACCCTTACGCGTTTTTTCCAGGGTCAAGACAAAACTCGATATACGCGATATTGTTGAAAATCACAGTATTGGTACTCCTGAGGATGCCGAGTCCGGTGCTATCATCGACAATTCGATTGCGGAATAATTAGTGGTCGTAATGATGCTTGGAATATTTTAATGAAATTTTTCACAATGCATATTTCAGTACTCTCCAACTATTGGTTTCTCAGGTATTTGGTTGGTGCTGTTATGTTCTAATGGATGTACTTAATTACAGAAATTAATCCCACCAAATTTCATGTCTGAGTGATAATCATATTTGGGTGGAAAAACGCATAAGGGTCCCCCCTTACGCGTTTTTTCCAGGGTCGAGAGAAAACGCGATATATGCGATATTGTTCAAAATCACAGTATAGGTTCCGGGTATGGTGAATGTTAATGATGCCAAAAGTAAGCCGAGTTTAGCTGGTAGGTCAGTCACACTTCTTTTTCTCTCCAGATATTGACTTCCTGCCAAGGGATCATCTCACAGGTAAATGAAGTGCAGTACTGTACATTATTTTGTTGAATAGAAGTTATAGGTAAGAAATTAATGCTCTGTAATGTACTGATGTGTATGGACTCAGATGTCTAGATTTTATTGAGGTGTATGTGTGTGGGCCCATGGGGTGTAATGAACATTTAATTTGTTATGAGGACTTCAAAATATGATTTTTTGTATTATTTTATGGAGAAAAGTGAAACACCACATTCATTAGTATTCATGATTTATTTGACTACTGTCAAACAGCTCATACAAAAGTTTAATTGAAAATATGGAATGATAGATTTTTTCAATGTTATCATAGGGATATAATTCAAGCTGTGCACATGAATTAATGGGAACATTATGGATGTGCAGACACACATCAGTTAGCAAATAACTGAGAGGGAGAATACTCATACAGCTCTGATTGGTTCACTCACTACCACTTCTTACATGCCATATTTCCCATCACTGGTTTCTAGATGACCCAGAATGAAATTCTTGTACTGTACAGTACTGTACAGTATACAGTCTATGATCATAATCTTACAAATCCAAAATTCAAAGTCCATAGTGACCACCTTATTTTTCTGGTTGCATTTTTAATCTGATTTAATAGTATTGGTTCCTTATTTTAAAGATGTATAAAACCTTATTTTTGTTCAATCCAGACTGCGACGTCTAGCCTATACCTAGGTATCTAAATGCCTAGCATTAACTCACCGAGCCAACATGCAGGGAATTAAAACATCTAATAATTACTTAATTAAATACGTAATATTAGGAGGACACGTCGCTACCTGGCATTTAATTGCAATTCTCAAAAACCCCTCCCGCACCCTCCATCACACGCATTCCTATCGTTACCTTCTTGCCTGGCGAATCAGTTGTAAATACGCACAAAGAAAGCTCTGCTAATTTGTGTTGTAATAGCTGAAATATTATGTACCACGAGGATTTTATTTCTGGTATTTACACATCTTAGCACGGTGAGGAAATCGAGTGACTTTTATTTTGATTGTGTCTCTCAGATATTGTGTTTGGGCAATTTTTTATACGGTCTGGTCAAGCATGACGACCACGGCTTGTCTTCTATCTCTAGGAAAACAGTCGATTTTTAGTGATTCATTTCCTCTGCTTTAGGAAAACAGTCGATTTTTAGTGACTAATTTCCTCTGCTTTCAAGTCATTTAGTGAATGACGTTGTTTTATGTCCTTCTGGGCTCATTTTCTTTGTCCCAATTATACACGTGCAAGTAATGAATACCATGATATATGTGGCCATCCCTCTCCCTCTTCTCATGTTTGTTTACGAAACTTTTCTGGCTTCCACCCTGGGTTTTCTGATTACTCTCAGCATGCAGGACAGAGTTAAGTCTTCATAGCTCTATTCTATTAATGTCCTCAGTTGTGGTTTTAGCCTATCCAGGCAAACTTTAGCAAGGCTGCTAGTTTTAGAGATCCTTCTGGATGCTGACCTTCCGGTCTTACTAACAATCTAGAGTTATACTAGGATGAACCTAGTACCCTTAGTTTGGGTTAAATGAGAATCATTCAGGGTGGGATTCTCAGCCCAATACATCTTGCTAGAGTAATGGTGAACGATGTTGGCTAATGGAGAGCTATGGTAGCAGCTCAGCACTGTCAACCCTTCCGGGTGACTTGATGCTCACTCAGGCATCAACGCTCAATCATGATTAGTTGAAGCAGTGATGCCTGTGCACCCTGATTGGCAACAAATAGGGAACTTGATGGTCCCTCAAAATATAAATGCTCTAAAATGAAGTTAGCTTGATTAAGAAACAACGTTCATTGAGCTGAGGGATAATTGAGATAAGAGAAGGGAGAGGTGTATGATATAGTGAGTTATTGTTTATGATTGTCACACTGGTGACTTATATAACAGTAAGAGATATTAAATGAAATAACTTACTAAAATACCAGAGTTGCGAGTCATATTGGTTATGTTTGGGAGAAAATGTTATCTACCTTGTATTATTATGATGATACAATGTGACTCATAGTGTTCCTCCTAGTTTAGATAAGTGATGTGCAACTGGAGGATGAAGGACAGTTGTCTGGACTGCTGGATGATGGAAGAGACCATGGAACTGTTCCTGGGGAACTAGTGTTGAGTGAGGAGTTGCAAGGAATGAAGAACTCAGCTCATACACTACATACAAAGATGTGAATTCAGTAGTAGTAGTTTCACCCAAGACCCAAGGGAACCATACTACATGTACTTACAAGGATGTAGAGCCACTTGGATTACCAAGATAGATCCTTATTTGGCTTGCATAATTCATAGCAGCTGTGTCTCAGACAACCTGTTTTCACCATTGGATTGTGCAGTTTGTTATGATAAATTTTTTTACATTAATCAAGCTGCAGAAGATAAGAAGAAATTATCAAAGATCCAATTTAAAAATAGATGGAATAAAGCCTTGAAGAGTAAAATTCAAAATGTAAAACACTGGAAAGATCCCAAGTTGGCAGAAAGTTTAGAATTATGGGTAATAGGTAAGAGACTTAATCCCCAGTTAGACCAACCTTCTTCTGCTAAGAAAAGTAGGTTATTGGATATTTAAGGCAAAAACCTCTTGTAGTCAGCCCAATTTTAGTGGATTTCAGAATCAGGATGAGGAAGTTTGCACTTAAAGTGTTCACTCTCCAGAGCAAGGAGAACCTGTTGAGACTGACTTCATCTTGTCCCCATTTTCCCAACTGCTTCCACCTAGGGCAAAAGTGTTGGTTACTATGAGTGGAAACAGGCTGCTGATGGAGAACATTGAGTGTAAGGATGATTCCAACAGGCCTTGGGTGACATTGGTAAGACCTCAGTCTTCTTTGTTTTCAACCACATCTGTGTCTGTGGATTCCTTATTCAAGATGTTTTATGAAAATTTTTCTAATCTTCCTGATCTCTCAGCACTTAAAAAGAGACAGGAAGGCCAAGCAACTGTGGGTCATCATTCATTGTTTTTAGAAGGTGATACTACAATTTCTTGTGCCTGATATTTCCCCCAAAATGATATCTGAAATCGATGAAGTCTGGGCTAATGTATTGAAAGACTTAACATTCATTCCCTCAGATAGGAATGCTCACAAGTTTAGTTTTTTGAAGCTCCAATGCAATGACAAAAAGAACTTTCCCAGAATTTGTCGCCTCTAAAATACTTGTATGCTGACATAACCTATCAAATAAATTTGAAACCTGTTGCTTCTGCTCTGTTGCAGGAAGAGTTCAAATTTAGGAAGTTGGCAGCGAATATTTGGTCTGCAATCATGATGTGTCAGTTGTTGACTAAGTTTGTGCTGGACTATGAGGACAGTTCAGAAGTAGACAATTGTTTTGCTGCTGCTATACAAGGGATTCCATATTCCCTGTATAACTCATTTTTGAAACTGTTGTTGAAAGCCTTAAATCTAAAAGCCCAGCGAAGGAAGCAAGCCACTAATAATGCTTCAAGTGGTAGTGCTTATTTATTGCTATGTTCTTCCCCTCTTTCTCCTGCTTTGTTTGAGGAATAAGCATTAGTTAAGTATATATCACCTGTTGAGCAAGCTATTAATATTACTGTTCCCAGCAGTTCTAAGACCTTTTGAAATTTAAAAAAGGAAGATCTAACATGGGAACAAGACCAGCTGCTCGGTTCAGTTATCAACCTTGAGGAAAGTTTAGAGGAGGAAACAATTCAAGACATTGTAGGGGTGGCTGTTTGTTCAGAAGTGGAAGGAGACCTTATTCCACCACATCAGCGACCACTCCCTCCCAATGAAGACAGACAGCTGGGTCGTCTAGGGGGTTGGGAAAACAGGTGGATTTTAGATCTTTCAGCCCTGAACAAGTTCATTATTAAAAAAAATTAGGTTTCAAGATGCTCACTGATGATCATCTGAAGCATCTACTTCCACCCAATGCTTGGATCTCAAAGTGGATCTCGAAGATGCCTATTATCACGTGCCTGTTGCTCCCAGGTACAGAAAGTTTCTAGTGTTTGCAGTGGGGGATGAAAGTTATTAATTAATAGTGATGCCATTCGGCCTAATAATTGCGCCAAAAGTGCTCACAAAACTGGCAAACATCCCCAGGGAGTTCCTTGCGAAGGAGGGCATAAGAACTTTTGCTTATCTAGACGAATGGCTGATAGTGTGAAACTCTTTCCAAGACTGTCAAAGGATTAAAGATAAATCAGGTCAAATCAAATCTCATACCATGTCAGAAATTGCATTGGTTAGGTCTCCATTGGGACACCCATAAGCAGTCAGTCAGTCTACCAGAAGCAAAAGTAACAGATGTGATAAACCAAGTAGAAGCCTTTTGTGTAAAGCAAGAAGTTTCTTGGCACAATTGGGAAAAACTACTGGGTCTGTTGAATTTTGCCTCGATAATAGTACCTTTGGGAACATTAAGGAAGAAGCAACTAACTCATCTGGAATTGAAGTTGCTTCACAGAAATACAAATATTGCTTCTTTTCTCCCTATTCAGATCAAGAATCATCCGTTATGGTGGACAAATTTGGACAATCTAATCGGTTCATCTCCCTGTGTTCCCCCTCAAACAGACTTTGTCGTTTGTACGGACTCGTTCGAAATAGAATGAGGAGACCGTTCCTGTAATAGAGAGTTCCGTCAAGGGAAGTGGAGCAACTCCCTTTGGGACAAACACAAAAAAATAAAAGAATCGGCAGTAGTCCTATTCATTTTATTGGCAAACCTAAATTTCAAAAACATGTCGCTTCTGTTTGCCATGGACAACAGAGCGGCAATGTTTTGTCTCAATCATCAAGGCTTAAATAGATCTTGGCACCTTCTCACACTGTAAAAAAATATATATATAAAAGTTTGTGTAACACAAACACTTTACCTCAAAGGAACTCACATACCAGAAGTACAAAACAATTGGTCAGTATCGACGGAAACAGAATGATACCTACAGATATCGAAGTTTAGGAGTCTAGTGAGGAGGTTTGGGACTCCATAAATAGATCTCTTTGCCTCACAAAACAATCACAAGATGCCACTTTATGCATTTCTGGAATAATCGAATCTTTTAGGAAATGCTTTACTCATAGATTTGACCCGTTGGAATTCAATCTATCTGTTCCCACCTGTGAAAATGTTGCCCAAAGTGATTCAAAAACTCAGATCCATCCAGGGAAAGGTCCTCTTAATTGCACCATATTGGATCATACATCCGTGGTGTCTGGCAAGAGTCAAGGGTTCCTCATATATTGTGCCTAGTTAAGAATCTTTTAGAATGGTTAACCAGATTCCCTAATCGAGGCCCCTATGTATTCTCATCACAGGATGGTAAGAAATTGTCTCCTATTCAAATGACAAAATATTTATCTCAGTGAGTCAAGCAGACCCTGGCAAGAAATTTTTGGCACATGACACCAGGAAATATGCAGGGTCGGTAGCCTTTCTGTGGCATATGAGTCAGTCAGATCAAAAAAGTAGGCTTTTGGAAACCTTTCAAAACAGCTATCTTCATCTATCTCTGGAAGATGCTTCACATGTGGTGGTACTGGGGTTCCCTCCCCCACCTAGTTAATCTTCTTCCTCATCAGAAAAGTGAGTATCCTAATTGGGTTATGTAATTTAACATTTTACCTTCTGGTAAATGTTCCTAATACAGTGTATCTGAAAATATTCCCAAAAAGTTTATAATTATAATCTGGACCTAAGCTAGCAGAGCCTTATACACAATGTCACCTCCCTCTCCACCTCCTGCTCGGGTAATCAAAGCTAGATGTCGCATTCTGGATTGAACAAAAAGGCGTTTTTTTTTTGTTTTTTTTTTTTTCTAAAAACCAGTTTTTGTGATATAGTCCAGAATGCGACTTCGACATCTCACCCATCTCCACCCCTCGAGAGTTTACATTTGTTTACTGCTTGCTTTAGGGCAAGAGATGACGGTAGCAAAGTGTGTGATGGAGGGTGCGGGAGGGAGTTTTGAGATTTGCAATTAAATGCCAAATAGCGACGTGTCCTTCTAATATTATGTATTTAAGTAATTATTAGCTGTTTTAATTGCCTGTGTGTTGGCCTGGCATGTTAATGCTCGGCATTAACATACCTAGGTATAAAGCTAGACGTCGCATTCTGGACTATATCACAAAAACTGGTTTTTAGAAAAAAAATGGCTTGCTCTTCTTATTCTTCCTTTTAACTTATCATATTTTTAATATTTTTGGGTCATGGATTTATAGATGATTAAAACCTTATTACCCTATGTTTTTTTGTTTTTTTCTCCAATTAAACTGGATTGTTATTTTTGGTAATGAATTTTAATGTGAATAAAACCCCGTTTTATGCTGGGACGCTCCTGTTCAACACAATTACTCAAGTTACTGGATATTTTGACCCATATTCTGGAACAAGGATGACAATACACACCTAGATTTTGCCAAGGCTTTCAACACTGTACCCCATGAAAGGCTGAGAATTAATCTGGAAGGGTACAGGATTCGGGAATGTGTCCATGCGTGGATTGGAGACTTTCTGCATGATCACAAGCAGTGTGTGGTAATTAATGGTACGAAATCGCCATGTGTACCCATGACAAGCGGAGTACCAAAAGGCAGTGTGTTGGGCCCGTTGTTGTTTGTTTGTTTCATAAATGACATACCAGAAGCTATACACTCCTTCATACAAATGTGTGCAGATGATGCCAAGTTATTCAGGGAAATAAAGAACCAAACAGACTGTGTAGAGCTGTATAAAGATCTCTGTGAGCTTCAAGAATGGTCGAAGAAATGCCTATGACTTACCGATGGTAAGGAGGCATATCATATGTCCTAACTGGACATATGATTGAAAAGTCCAAAGAAGGACCTCCAGACTGGCATCTGCACTTTGGCACCTCAGCTATCCAGAGATATTAGAGCACCTGCAACTGCCTGGTTTATACTACAGACAGGCAGGGGGTGACTTAATTGAGGTGTATAAACATCTTAAAGGGCTTTACTCAACCAGGTGTCCATACCTGGAGCTGGCAGAAATTCGCCCCACAAGGGGTCACAGCTCAAGGTTGAAGAAGCTGCAAGTCTAGAAATCTGTGAGGGCAAACTTTTTCGGAGTGAGAGTTGTGAACTCTTGGAACAATCTGCCAGAGAGTGTGGTGACGGCACCGAGTGTGAGCTCTTTCAAGATCAGACTTGACCAACACTGGAGCAGGTTCAAGTACATTCAGGAGCCAGTGCATGCCCAGTACTTGCCAACAGTGTGTGTAACAGAGATGTGACCAATTGCCCAAGTGGCTAATGAGCCAATTAATGGCGAAGAGGTTAAAAGTGAAAGTATTGTTTATAGTGAGTGAAAATGTCTCTAGGCTAGTACCAGTTGACCCATTTAGCATGTAAACTATGCTCACTACATTCACGATTTTCACTTTAACGACCGTTTTCGTGGTACCAATTAGTCGCTGAAGTGAAGTAATTATGGACTAATGTAGTCAGAAAAAGATTTGGGGTGTCAACCACTGTATGATGCATGTTGGCTGCTCATATCACTGTAGGTCACATATCCTTAAATTTTACATTCAAAACAATAATTTTTGCATAACTCTTCATGTAGAATTTGTCATTAGGTTGAGAGGGGAAAGTATATGGATTTCTTTAAAAATCATATTTGGATTTGCTCTTTTGTGCTGTCAGAAATAGCAGCTAAAAAAAGATAATCACTACCTCAACTAATGTCCCAATTTACCAACTTCAGATAACTCAGACCCTTTGGGTAAACTTACAAGTTGTAGAGCCCTACAGTTGTTGAGTTAGAAGGGTTTATTTGTATGATGGGACTCACCTCTGTATACTTTATTGTGTATGTCATCACTCTTATTATTAATTTAGTGTTGTTTCAGTGAATCTGTCAGAAATAACATAGTCAGTAATAAATATGCTGAGTGCATGATTTGTGACGTGACTCATCCTAAGTTACATTAGGTAACAATTGTTGTATTTCTCACTTTACTGTGGGGATGATTCTCTCAGGTGTCATATGTCTGCCATCACTGGGTAAATTATTTTTAAAAATTCTGTCTGTCTAATGTAGGAATGCCTCTCAAAACTATTGATCTAATTACCTGATGATACCTGTGGTTTTCTAACCATTAAATCCAATAGAATGAAACTGAGTAGCTGAATAGTTGCACTTAAACGCCCATTTTTTTAAACATTCAGAGCAGTAAGCCCAAAGAGGAATCCCAAACATAAGTGACCCGAGAAATAGATTCATCAAAGCTGTTATTTGAGCTTGACAAATTAATTTGTCGGGTTACTGTACTGAAAAGTAACCCGATGTTCAGGATTCCTCTTCGTACCTACTGCCCCGAATGTTTAAAAAAATGGGCGATGGTATAAAGACTATTCACAGAAACTACAGCCATAACCAGCACTACCATGGGCTCTTCTGTACAAGTTTGTTACTACGACACCTTCTGGAACTGATCACACCACTACTAGTCCAGTGTATACTATGGTCATTCATGATATTTTTACTATTACAGTACAGGCATTTTGTTGCATACACCCATCGTGTTCACTGATGAACGTTTTAATTTTATTACTTATTATATATATATATTTTTTTGTATTAGTTTTGATTATAATTCCAAGTTTTTAGTGTTCCACCATATGCATGTATAAGTCTCACTTCAGTCAACTTTTAAGAATGAGATGTTGTAATGATTATATATTCACCCCTCAACAGAAATAACAACTTCACCGAGCTCGGAGCTGCTCACCTCATCTTTGCCACCAGACTACTTCAATGAATCACCATCATTATTAAAGTCACCCGCTCAACCAATTCAATTCAATGAAATTCCTCTCATGTCACCTTTATTAACAACAACTCCACACACACCAACTTCACCACCACCAACATCAATAGTGTCTAGTCCCTCACTTCCACCTACACCAACACCACCTTCAGGACCACAAGTACCATCAGCAGAATGGGTGACAGGTGGTAAGTCATGACAACAGTAAATGTGTATAAAATAATGAATAACATGAAACACAATGGAAAGACTATACTGAATTGGTTTTAAGCTCATAGATCTTCATAGTAACAGTTTTGTGTCAATTTTGGTGTTTATTGAGGAAATTATAAATACATACACTACAGTACTGTACATTTTAATTGCTTTTCACTTTATGCAGGTGGAAATGTTACTGTCAGTGGCAAACCCTGCATATTCCCCTTTGTTTATAAGGGACAAGAATATGAACAGTGTATACAAGAGGATGCCAAGGGGCCCTGGTGCCCCACCTTACTCAACAAACATAAACAGCCCATTGCCAGTGAATTCTGCAAGGGTAAGTAATATGCCCTTAGTGTTGTTATCTACTTCAGAAACAGGAAATATGATCTTAGTTTTATAGTGACATCTACTAAGGCAGGGCTTTAAGAACATTGAGTTCATATTATTTAGATCTAATACAGTGCACTCTTCTGTGCTGTACTGAACTGCCTCTTCTCAACAATAGATAGGTTATTTATATCCTTGCTTGTAAACATTTTGTCTGAGGTCGCATAACCACCATCTTCAATTCTCAGGTCTAAGGCACTCATGTTTATCCTTAATTTTGATTTTGCAAAATTATCAGTCTTTACTTTGTCCTGCTCATCATTATTGATGATGCAACTCTTAAACATTTGGTTGATGTATAAAGAATTCCTGTTTTTTTACAAATGTAACAGACTCAGTCTTGGAATGTATATTTTAACATCAGATATTAGAACTTCACCCTGTATAAATTTGCATGAAGAATCCACATCTTTATTGTTCAGCAAGTTAGGCCAGTCAGTGCTCCCTGTTTCCTTCCTTATCTCATTGTAATCACCTTTGTGTGATTTGAACCTTGGCCTGCTCTTGTCATGTACAGTACCAAGTAAGAATAGAAACTATATTCTGGCACCAGTACATGCTCAGTACTTGCCAACAGTGTATAACAGAGATGTGACTGACTGCCCAAGCAATGAACAAACTGATCAGTGGTGAAGAGGATAAAAGTAAATATAGTGATATCCTCGTTAGCCGGAACAATTGGTGCAGAGCTCCTCGACTAACCAGACAACTTTCTCAAACCTGGAAAAATTCCTTATCCCGGAATATTTTCCGGTTACTGGGAAAAGTTTCTGGGGGTCTAAACTAGACATCTAGCACACACAGACACTAGCCCACTTCCCCAGAGTGTTTCTGGGTGCTGGGGATGCTTTCCTTGAGTCTAAACTACCAGAGTCTGTAAATGCATTTCTAATTAAGATAGAAACTCCATTTCTTTACTATAATAATCCAGAATACAGTCTACCCTCACTTTACGCGGTTAATGTAACCCACAGGGTACCGCGGAAAGTGAGAAACTCGTAAAGTGAATAACATAACATATGGGATTAAATGAAATAGAGACCAGCTGACCCCCAAACTCCACTTTTTCCAACACAATACCTATGTTCTAGTAAAAATAACATCTTAATTTTATGATGGTACATGCACACAATTAATACTTAAGAGAAATAGAGAAATACAGTCGCCAAGTTAATGTCCATTCAAATAATGGACTCACTCCCTCCCCCTCTTCTCACACTACACTCGCTGGCTCTTCCCTCTGAGAAATTTTGGGGGGAAAACCAGGTATAGTAATAAATAATACCTCAAACTAAAGTTAGGATAATATAATTGACATTGCTGGATTCCTTGTAAGACCAGGAATATTTTGAATATAAATGTCATATATTTTTCACAAAAGATAACATATTTACTCAGAGTAACATTACATCTAAAATTTGTATGTCTAATGCAAAATCTATGATGTTTATATTCAAAATGATCATCAAATTGAAAGAATTCCAGCAATGTAAATTATATTCTGGCCGGGTAATTTGTATGAATTTTATGAGCTAAAACAAATATCTTCAGTTAATAAAAAAAAAAAAATATTCTTCACGACACTATCTGTCAATCAAAGTACCCCACCTTGCCTCCCCCCCTCTTCCAACCCAGCCAGATGGTCAGTCCGTCCCAACCCTCCCCCCCACCCCCCACCAACCTCCCTTCAAGAGAAAGAGTGGGTGAAAAAACTAGATTTTAACATTTAGTATTAAATAATACCTCAGATTAAAGTTAGGATAATATAATTGACATTGCTGGATTCCTTGTAAAACCAGGAATATTTTGAATATAAATGTCATATATTTTGCACAAAATATAACATATTTACTCAGAGTAAACATTATATCTAAAAATTTTATGTCTAATGCAAAATATATGATGTTTATATTCAAAATGATCATCAAATTGTAAGAATTCCAGCAATGTAAATTATATTCTGGCCGGGTAATTTGTATGAATTTTATGAGCTAAAACAAATATCTTCAGTAAATAAAAAAAAAATATTCTTCACACATGCCAGGTGGTCGGTCACCAGTCCCTCCCTCCCCCCCACCCCCCACCAACCCTCCCTACCAGATAAATGTGTGGGAATACCAGACTGTTTACCTTTTTAGTAATAAATAATAAATCAGACTAAAGTTAGGATAATATAATTGACATTGCTGGATTCCTTGTAGGACCAGGAATATTTTGAATATAAATGTCATATATTTTTCACATGACATATATCTAAACTAAAATTTGTATGTCTAATGCAAAATCTATGATGTTTATATTCAAAATGATCATCAAATTGTAAGAATTTTATGAGCTAAATAAAAAAATTATACTTCACCGGCGTAAAGGGGTACACCCACCGCGGAATGTGAGCATCCTGGGTTCTGGCAGGGCAGTGGAAACACGGAATGTGGGACCGCGTAAAGTGAGGGTTGACTGTAGTTTATCTAAAAGTTTGGTAAAATACATATATTTGAAAATTAATAATCTATATGATAAGAGCGTGAATTAAACTGTGTGTTACAGCAAAGGCTTGTATTTTCCACTCACTTGGAGCTGTGGGAGATTAGTGGGTCTCGTGTACCTGACTTGACACAATGTCAAGTGGAGGTAGGGTGGGGATTAGTGGTCTCATATTACTGACCTTCAGATGGAATGTCAGGTCACCCTTTCTTGGGTGGGGGATTAGTGGGTCTCATGACCTGAAGAGATCTTGAATAAACACGAAACCTGAAGTATTTTTAGACAGATTGTGATAAGTATAAGTATAAATGGAGTGAGAAAGCAGAAAGGTGTGGGTAATTAGAGAGTTGGAGTGGAAATGAGTATTGCCAAGAACTCCTCAACAGCTGATATTTAACTCACAGTCACACACACGTGCAAATTTGTCACACGATAAGACCCTCACTCCTTATGTCTGCTGTGTTAATTCCCTTGTTAGGGGTATGTGAGTGGTGTTGGAGTGCATGTGGGTGTGATGTTGGGGTGTGTGTGGGGAGGGTGTGTGTGTGTGTGTGATCATACTAGGTGGTGTCACGGTGTGTAATGTTTGGCTGAAGAGTGGGAGTCAAACCTTTTTGGGGGGTGAGGGTGGGATGGTCGTATGCCCCCCCCTCCCCTCCTCACTCAAGTGTGGCTAATTATTAAAGGGAGATGAATTTGATAGCATAATGATCCTTAATAAATTCTCCGCAAAACATTTCCAATAAGATATCCTTAAACAAAATATTTGTGATATAGTGATGGGAATCCCATTCTTTTATAAAAAAAAAGTTAGAAATTTTGATACCGGAGTCAGTAAAATCAGTTCTAATTCCTTGAGACACCAATTTTTTTTTTTTTTTTTTTTTTTTATAGATAATCCTGAATACTTTATCTAAAGGTTTGGTTAAATAAATATACAGTGGGGTATGTCATAACGAACGGTTTATATAATGAATATTTACATAAATGGTTTTCCCTATAAAATTGAAAATGCTAAAACATACGAAAATTCTACAGCGAACGCAGATGAATATTGGTTTGGCGGGACTATTGCATACTGCGCACGAATATCGTTGTACTGCGGCTCTGAGCCATATTTTTTTGTTGTGTAGTCGGTTCCCCACTGAACTTATTTAAATTTTTTTTTTTTTTTTTGAAAATCGTATTATTTTTATTAATATTTTGTTATACAATTGTAACCATGAATCGGCAGAAGCGAGTGAGAATACTAATAACCCTGGAAACTAAGAAAGAAATTATTAATAAGTGTGAAAATGGAAAAAGCATTGCGAACTTTAGTGTTGAATATGGGATGGCTAAATCGACGATATGTACGATTTTAAAGAATAAAGAGGGGTTGAAAACTGTGCAAGTGGCTAAGGGAATCGCTAGACTTAGCAAAGCAAGGTGTGATGAGATTGAAGAGATGGAAAATTTACTCTTAGTGTGGATAAAGGAGAAAGAAATGGCAGGCGATAGCATTAGTGAAGCGATAATTTGTGAGAAGGCCAAACAATTGTTTGAGGACCTTAAAGCCAAGGCTCCCAGTGGAAGTGATAGTGCTGTGCCGGTGTTTAAGGGTACAAAGGGGTTAATAAGTAACACCTTGTTTGGTACGGCAACCGCTGAAGATGTGGCCAAACTGGGAAATAAAATGAGTGCAGTTTCAGATGCGGTTAGGAAATAAAATGGGGCCATTGCACAGTCCTACAAGGCAATAAAAACTCTGACCTCTCATATGAATGATGTTGTTGAACGAACTCATCAACTAATTGCCGCGTTGCATATATCTGATACTAATTGTCATCTAACTCCTATCTTTCAGGAGCATGAAGTGGAATATTATTATCCCTTATTGGAAGCAACATTAACACACAGGGAAATACTAATACACATTCCACTAAAATCACAAAAAAATTTAATGCATGGCATTTGGAACCATTTCCACTAAAAGCGAATGAGGGAATATTAATTCTGAACAAACAAACTGAACTAATAGTAATATCAGAGGATTTTTCATTAGTTGCTGTGGCTAAGCATGAAGTCCTAAATCATTGTAAATCAACATATTTGCATCTGCATGTTTGTCCGGCGTATGCTTTCGCATTCACTCGGGCCGCAGAGGCTTCATGTGAATTAGCTCTGTTACAAACTAATGCCTCTACAGCCCTACAGCAATGTGTATACACTCCAATACCACATAGGTTAGTGTTTCACGCACGTGTTGATAATGTGCAATATTTCTTTTTCCCGAATCAAACCAGTGTGATACTTAAATGTCAGGATGTAGGCAAACATTTAATGGTAGAAGGTTATCATATAGCACCAGACTATTGTGAAATTAGCAGTAATGCAATCACAACCTTGCCTACTCGTCATCATCTTGCATTTGTCACAAATATTACTTCTGAGCTGATTTCCATACCATTTCCCTTAAATATAAGTTTCAGAAATCTCCATATTGTTTCTGATAAGCTTAACCTCCTGTCTTATTTTAATCAGACACAGTTTCCTGACTTACAGGATTCTCTTCCTTTATACTTATCTTCCAGTATAATCCTACCTGGTTTTATTATTTCTACCATCATATTTATCAGTTCCTTGATTGTTATGATAATTTGTTACAGGAAGATATCTTCTAGGTACACAATAGTTTCTAAGAAAACTTTTCGGAAAGAATTGCAAAAACATATAAACAACGAAAAGGATTACCTAAGCACACCTTTTTGTAACAAGGTTAGGTACACCTAGGTTAATCCGTGAGGACATCGGTTGGAGGTGACCGAGCGGTGTAACAGCACAATTTGTATTATATAAATATATACCCAAATGTATATTACCCATGTATTCACCAAGTCATTCATCCATGAGTATGAATCAATTGGTGAGTTGACATTTCCTCCATGGAGCGAGCGAGGTCAAGCTGGGTCAACACATTACAACAACAACATCCTGTAAGGAGCGCTTGACAACTCCCTCTCCCTGGTGTGAGAGAGAGACTATCATATCACCTGTTACCCAGTGAACAACTCACTTAAGTGCTCTCCCATAAAAGTGTACTAAGACATTTCCCTTAGCAGAGAAGGTACAATAAACTCTCAACTGAACTCAGTACCTGTGAAACTATATTTTTCTACAATAGAACAAAACCAACAAAGTGTTTACTTATCAAATCAAGAACTAATATATATATATATATATATATATATATATATATATATATATATATATATATATATATATATATATATATATATATATATATATATATATATATATATATATATATATATTGTGTGACCAACACAGGGTGACTTCTCTTCCACACCCACTGCCTTCTCTTCTTCCTTCTCCTCTACCCCCACTTCTAATTCCCATCATCATCATCAACCAGGAGCCTTCTACATGCACACCTCAAAATAAGTGTACTTTACTGCATTTATTTTTAGTTTGTATGTAATTTTTGGTGAGCTGGAACCAATTACCCAAAATCCCATTGAAACAATGGTTTCGGTTAACGAACGACCTTCTGGAACGAATTGTGTTCGTTAACCCAGGGACCACTGTATAATGTTGAAGGGCTACAACTTTGCTCATTTATACTTATACTTATCACAATCTCCCTAAAAATACTTTAGATTTCGTGTTTATTCAAGACATCTTCAGGTTATGAGACCCACTAATCCACCACCCAAGAAAGGGTGACCTGACATTCCATCAGGTCAGTAATGTGAGACCACTAATCCCCCCACCCTACCTTACCACCTGATATTGTGTCAGGTTTAAGTCCCCCCAAAAAATACTTTAACTTTCATCCTTATTCAAGACATTTTCAGAAAATTCTCTCGATTTTCAGCCTCGGAAATTTTTTTTCTAAAACCGTAAATTTTTGGACATTTCTGGCTTTGGGAATTATTTTCCGGCTATCAGAGATATACGGCTTTGAGGGATTCCAGCTAACGGAGATATTAATGTATACACAACACATTTCATACATCCAAATACAAATTACCAAATGGCTGAGTGTCCAATTGAATCTGTTGGTATTTTTATCTGGATTAAATAAAAAATTTGGAATTTAAAATCATAAATTATTTAGTAAATGCATCATTGAAAATATCACCTATAATTGTGGGGGGGGTTTTATAATCTTTCAGGTACTTCTCTAGATTCACCACCAACTGGTAAGTTTTTATGTATTTATTTATCTTGTATGTATAGCCATTAATTAAGCTCTGATTTGTAGTGTTTGAATAAAATATTTTATTATCTTTGCAACATACAGTCATTTATCCTTCAGTACTGAATGTCTCAGGAATACCCCCAAAATTATGAAATGTATTTCCATAGCACCCTGTATATATACAGTACTGTACAGTATATACCAGGTACAGTATGTATAATTTAAAACAAATTGTTTTATCCCAAACAAAAGTACAGCTAAACACTACAGTTAGTGGTGTAGCGTGTGTCTTCCCCTTCCTGTACCGTGGAGTACGGTACTGCCACTGCATTACTTTGGATGACAACCACCCATGGTGTGCTACTCAGGTCGACTCTGATAGGCATCTAACATCAAGAGGCTACTGCAAAGGTCAGTATATACTCTAACTACAAAAATTAATCCTTTATGATATCTCTCAATAATGCTTGTTTGATGAAATTAAGGGTATTGTGTGTGTAGTGTGGCAGCATTATGTTAGTTTTTAAGGTGCAAGCACTGCATGCTCCCTCTCGCTTTCAGCTACCACCACTGCCTAGCCCTCATGGCGAACAGGGAAGCTACTTGCTTAAGTCTCCCCCTGCCAGTACACAGACTCTTCACCATCAAGACTCCTCCTGTGCCTCCTCATGGCAACACACGGTAACTGGGTGCCTCATGGGCCCAGGCTAAACCAGCAGGGGATCTAAGAGCAGCAGTGGGCCCCAGAGGGATGGTGCATAGGCCCACTGGCATGTGGACACATGCTGGCGCCTACCAACCACCGCCCTGCTGCCTTGCGTATTTAACCTTGGTAGGTATAAGGCTACAGGAGTAAACTCCGAACGAAAAATCTGCTGTGGAGCCCCGCATCAGGCAGAAATGCTTACAGAGCTCCAACAAGACCCAACAGCAGTGTAGGCGGAAGAGGTGACCACCATGGGAACCCAACGACTACACCGATGGATGAAGGCAATGCATGATGGACAGGCTACTAAGGCAAAACCCAACAAACTGGGCTATCAGCAGTCCATTGCAACTCTTCCTCTCCCCCAGTCATTGCAACATTTTCACCACTGGATCAGGAAAAGGGAGAGCCAAGATGTGTGGTTGCAGCCTGCTCTCCTGCCTCACCACATAAATCAACTCACATCGCAGCCATCATCCAGCTCATCATACCTCTCATCATCATCAAAACCCTTATACCCTCAAAAGTCCTATGGCGACGGACGAGTGGCGATCGGAACAGGCAGAGATGACTGCCGGGAGTCTCTAGTGACAACTCTGCACATGGGCGAGATAAGATGGTCGTTTATGCACTGGTATCTCGGCAGCAGTGCAATCTGGTCCTGCCTGTACGACTGAGCAGCCCATACCAGGAGACACTCTGCTCACCCCACATGGGGAGGGGGCTAGAAAAGGTGCGGCATAGATAAGATGGTCGTTTATGCACTGGTATCTCGGCAGCAGTGCAATCTGGTCCTGTCTGTACGACTGAGCAGCCCATACCAGGAGACACTCTGCTCACCCCACATGGGGAGGGGGCTAGAAAAGGTGCCCTAAACATAGCCTGCCTAAAAAATCAACCTGACTGAGCAACCGCACCCAGTAAGGTCATCCTTATGCGGTCGAAAACACAATCAAAATCACAGATCCAAACAAAAACAAGCTATACAACCTCTTTTGGTCGCTGCATGGAATGTCAGGACCCTTCTGGATACTGACACAAATGAGCGTCCTGAAAGAAGAACTGCCCGTGTGGCAAAAGAGCTGGCTAGGAATAACATCGATATAGCAGTATTGTACTTGTTTAGAATATTAACTTCTCCATACCTCACCATTTCTTTCCTATACTGTAATGTACAAGGACTCTGAGATACAAAACACTTTCCATTGACAGGCAATGACGCCTCAGTGAAACCACCATTGACAGGCAATGACACCTCAGTGAAACCACTTCATGTCTCAAGCCAGAGTAAGTGGATCTTAGTTTATTATTTCTTCCTCTGATGTAATTGTGATTGATAGGTTCATTTAGTTACTCCTTTTCTGCCATTTCTGACCAGAATGATAACATAGATGTTTTTAAACCAGGAAGGTTTATTATTAAAGTGCTGACTATCACAGCTACAAACCAGTTGTTGGTCACTCTTGTTTTGAGATGTATTAAATTACAACCTTTTAAACTGGAGTGATATTTTTAAGTTTTAGATATCTGTCAGTAATGTTCAAGTATTTTTTCAATTGTGACATGTACTGTTTAATTATATTAGTCATGTCAGTCACAGCTGTAACAACCAGTCATTTTATGAGTAATTATACCATCCATTGTTGTACCTGTAATATCAACACAGTTCTACCATCATCACTTGTACCATTCAGTCTTACCATCAGTAACTGAACCTCTCACAGTCATACCATCAACATTTATACCTCTTACAGCAGTACCAGGAACAGATAAACTAAATAAAGCTTGCCATCTTCTCATGTACCATCCAAAGTGCCACTGTTCACACTTGTACCATTCCAGCAACAGTTTTATTGCCCTTAGCTGTACCTTCCATTGATGTGCCATCCATGACTATCATACCATTCACAGGACAGTTTACAAAAGATGGAGTCGAGTGCATATTCCCCTTCACATACAAAGGTATTCAGTACTGGAATTGTAGTTCTACAGAACGACCTGCACTCTGGTGTGCTACTCTAGTCAATGCCAAGTTACAGCCTCTCCAAAGTGGATATTGTGCAAGTAAGCATTCATGGTATAGTTACCTGACATTTTCCCTCGTTTCTGGTATAAACAGTTAGAGCAGTGGGTCTTAACCTGGTGGGCATTTCAGTTAGAGGGGTACATATTCTCACAGTAATTTGCGAGGGCAGCCTGTAGCATTGTGTATTGTAGGATCCTGAGAGTGAAGTTCAACTTACCGGAAAATCTCTTTATAGGGAACGTACCTCTCAATCCCCGTAGGTGCTGGGAAACCAGGATTCTACTGTTCTCATATTGTACGTTTACAGTGAAGTTTGTATTAATAAATCCAGCTCTGTGTCTGTCCATGGGAGATGTGTAATTTAGCCTCTCGGAAAACTTTCCCCATTACATACCCGGAAAATTTCCAGGGATATGTGATTTTTTCCGGGGATGAGAAAATTCTTCACCATACTACCTGGAAATCTCTCAGCCTCAGAACTGCTCTGCACCAGTTATTTTGGCTAACAGGGATATCACTGTGTTAATCCAATCTAAAAAGGCATTAAAAGCAATGGAACTGGAACTTTTGAAGAAAAAGAATGGGGGTATCACGAGGTGCCTTGGATTCAAGGATGGTCATAGGAGAAGGGGGGGGTGGCTCATCTCCACACAGGTTAAGAATTACTGAGATAGAGAATACATAAAACAGTGGTTAAAGAGAAGGTATGTGTTGTGCTTGATTGGCTTTTAATTACAAAAGCTGCCTGGCACAAGAAGTTATGCTAGAAATAAAAAGTTAAATCTGAAATCTAAGGGGCTCATATACCCTTCTTCCTCACATGAGTTCATGGATTATTCAACTAAAATGGAGGAATAGCCTTGAAGTCAAGATAGCAGACCATAGCTTTGAAATAAGTGTGCTGCTTGAACAAATTTGGCTCAAAGAATACCATTTAGGATCTAGTGGGCAACTGTTGCATCCAAGGGGGAGGTGAGCTTTCAAAGTAGCCATTCTATGGCACATATGGGCACTTGTGGAGTGCCATGTTAACAAACTTTAAGTGTAATTTGGTACCACCCTTAATTTCCTTATTTTCTTCCACAGATAACATTGCTTCAATACCCTTCCAGCCACCACCAACTGTCATAGGTAAGATCAGTTGTCTGCCTCATGGCCTGTGATTCAGCCACTTTATCTGTAGTAATTGGTTGAATCTGCCCTAGTCTTAATTAGCCTCAACCAAAGCTATCTTCACCATTAGGAGTGGGGCACAGTCCCAATAGATTCCATTCCTTATGGTTAAGTTTGATTGGGGCCTACAAGGACTGGGGCTCAATTGAACTGCAAAATATCTTCAACCACATACTGTAAAGGTTACATATTCCAGTATTATGGTACAGTACTTTAACCAAATCCACTCCTTTGCTCTTCATCTCATCATCAGTTTATCTCTTGCTCCTCTTTCCTTCCTTAGTGCTACTGTTTCAGTCATGGTTTGTGTCACAATGATATATGATCCTACAGTGACTTAACCCCATACTCTCTGGTCTACTTCTTGTCATCAGTACACTGTTCAAACTGCACAATCAAGTCACCCCAATTCCTCTCATCTTTTATTTCCTTAACCACTTGACTTGACATTTTCCCTTTGCACATTTGTTACTTCCTCTTGTAACTATATACTGTATTGTGAAATAAAATGTTTGTTATTATATTTTAAATATTGATTTTAGTGCTATTCTTGAACTTCTCTCTTTTTGTGTATTTCTTTCCTGATAATTTTCTCCCTTTCTAGAGATCTCTTTTTTTATTTCTTTTGGCCCAATGTCCACAAACGTTTGAGCAGAGGAAGAATATTAGATGGGTAAGGTTACTCAAGCATTCACTCATACTTACCCGGTAATTAATACACTAACCTTTGCAGGTATGGCTATGACTATACAGAGAGGGCCATGTATCTTCCCCTTCTTGTACAGAGGAATAGTGTATGAGCAGTGTGCCTGTGTGGACGCTCCAGCCTGTTGGTGTCCTACATCACTGACAAGAAACAATGAACCTGCTGTTAGTGATTATTGTAGAGGTAATTTTTATTTTTAATGTACTTGCTGTAACTTGCTGTAGATGGCACACATTTCTTAAAAGATTGTAGAGTCTGTAGACAGGGTCCTCCTACACTCCTTCATGACACTATCTCTGTTACTTGTGAATTTACATGAATCCAGGTTTATTTCTCCATTTTTCTCTCGTTCCTTGCTTGTAGTGACAGTAAATGGTCATGGCTGATCTCTGATTTGGCCTTACCATAAGCTAACTATGCACCCACGTGAGATACTTCTGGGACTGTAGTTAGGTTTTACTGCATTTTGTTTTTCATTTCTGAATAAAACAGATTTTCCTAACATATTTTGTTTTATAATGTTTATTGCCTTGCTGTTGTAACACATCTGAGATTGGTTTAATATACCAGAATGGGTGGCCTCATCTCCATTACTGTGCTGTACCTCAGTTCAAGATTTTCATGGTTTGTTAACTGTAGGACCAGGCCTGACCCCAAGGGATTGTTTCATATGAAGCCATCATTATATGCACCAGATAGTCATAAGCTGAGCGAATGTTTTGTTATAATTTACAATGGGTGTGCTAGACCATTAATTTAAGTCTTATTTTGAACAGAAGCTTAGCTCTGTGCCTCAGCGGTGGAGCATTGTGAGTTAGTTGCTTTCCAATGTGGTTTAGATTCCTGGAGGCAATTTTGGGCATGGATAAAAGTGTTTGACCTGTCTTGAATTTGGCTAATGAAAATTTTGCCTATCCAAAGTTCTGCACTAGACTGTCGACTGTAACTAGAGTTACCTTAAGTTGTTCTGTTATTCCTCCTTCTGTGGTTAAATTAACTAGTGGGATGATCATTGTATTGTTTGGGGCATGCCAAAAGTTGACTGTGTTATTCAAGACCAAATATTCCTTCATCCTTGTTGGTAGGAAGAACTCATTCATGGTCAAGTTAGTCACTTCTTTTATAGGGGCATGACAACCAATTGGATGCATCTCTTTTATCATGACTCAGTGGTTGTGGGTCATTGTACCACAGTCAGCCTCAAAATAGAGCACCCCCAGTAGGCCTATCAGTCCATAAGTTTACAGTTAGGGAAATGGCAGACAGTGATGTGCAATGCAAGGCATACAATTTTATTTATTTTTCGAACAGTTAGTCTTCAGAGCAGTGTTTCAACACTACACCTAACAGGTATAAGGTCTATGTGAACAACGTCAGTTTTTCTTTAACCAGTTAAGAAACATTTGCAGCATGATCTACAGTAGAACCTCGATAAATCTGACTGATTGGGGCTGGCCCCAGTCCGAAAAATGTGAAAGTCTGAAAAAAAAGCGAATACTGTACTGTATATGGAGCGGGGGGTGGGGGAGTATAACACTGCTTATCTGAACTGTTTAAAGAAAATCAGTTGTTGTTATGTTATTACTACACTTCAACAACTAAGCTCTTTAAGTGTATAACAAGTTTATTAAAAGAATATTACATCAACAATAAAAAAAAATATGAAACCGAACTCTGGGTTGAAAATCAGACATACAGTATAAGTCTGGTTGTCACCGAGATGATTGGTATTTACTGTAAAGTGTTATATGTACGTAACCACAGAATTTGTCTTATGAATAAAGATTAAACTGTATACTGTACAGTATTATACAGATAAAAATAAGAACAAATAAGTGTAGGAGTATATAGTACAGGTTGTACCTCTCTCGTCCGGCATTCTGTGGTCCGGAAACTCCCGTGGTCCGGAACGATTTTAGTTTGTCCAATACAGTAGGTAGATAGGCAGCTTTTTTTTTTTTTTTTTTTTTTTTTTTTTTTTTTTTTTTTTTTTTTTTTTTTTTTTTTTTTTTACTTATCTGAATTATTATTATTATTACAGGAGTATTAAATTTTTGCCCCTCAGGCCCCAATGTGGGTCAGTGACCTATGCCCGGGTGGGCTAATCCCCGTAAAAAAAACAACAACAACAAAGCCACGGGAAATTAAGGTTTGTTTACATCCGGCAGTTCGGCTGCTCTCTCTCTCTCTCTCTGCTTGTCTATACAGAGTACAACATTTAACCCTTCAATATATATGAGCAGTAAATAAGTGTTGCTTTCATATTCTTATGTAGAGTAATGACGATATGTTTTCACGTGTGCACACTTACATACGCGCAGTCTCACTTTATTTTTTACCATTAATGGTTAGCTACTTATATTGTTCCATTTATTAACATTAAATAACATTACAGGTACTTCAAACAACCATATTAATTTTTTTACATTAATTTTACTACAGCTACAATCAGGGTCTTATTTTCTTCAGTTTTATATGTAGAACCAATCTGTCACTGGTTTTGTAAGCTTTAACATAAACAATGCCGGCAGCCGTCTCGTCTCCTCATTATTAATAAATTGTATTGTTAATTTGCACACACAAGCATTAATTCAATAAAACAAATTCAGTAATTAATTAAAATATGGATAGACAGTAAATAAGTGTTGCTTTCATATTCTTATGTAAAGTAATGACAATATGTTTTCAAATTGTGCGCCCTTACATACTCTATAATTATATTCGGTGTATTTATCACCATTTAATAAAATACTATTGTAATTATTATTTGTCATCATAAAATACAATATTGTGAGTGAAATATTTATCCCGAGCCTGCTTACATACTCAAGTGTCTTAGTTCTCAGTAGGCCAGCAAATCTGATGAACCACTGGCACAGTAGGGGGCAGGGGAAAAAACACTTTTATTTGAGTTGCAGGCTGCACTTTTCAGGCATCGTTTGTATGGCTGTAACAAACACCTGTGCAAAATTTCATGCCATTTCATGCATACTTACCCTGCCGCATCGCGAACGACTTTTTGTCAACTTTTAGTGTATACCAAAAATTAGGTGTCATTTAATGTTTTCCAGGATAATGATATATTTTACATGGGTGACATCGATTTAATTCACATGTTATTTTACAGGTACACCGTATAGAAAATCATTACAAGTTCATATTGAAATTCTTTTTTGTGCGGAACCTTGGCATCATTTTCCTAGACAATAATCTTTGCCTACTATATCCATCTCTCGATTCGTATCCCGTCACTTCGGGCGTTAGCTTCGATCTCACTTTTATGCCTCGACCGCCTGAGTGCTGTTTGGCCACTTGGGCACCACTAATCAGTGTCTCAAGAATGTCATTAACCTGTGGAATTTGACGAAGAAGCAATGTAAGGAGGCTCAGTCTTGGGTTCATTCCTCGGACAATCATGGAATGATAGTTTTTAACTTTGCCACTTTGGTTCAGTCTCACCTTTCTCATGTTGACTACAGGGCATCCTCATTCCATCTCATCTTTACCCACTCCTCATCAGTATAGTTTAACAAATTCTCAAATCCTTAGCAACATCAAGTCTTCTCCTCCTCTTCCAGATCTGCCAGTGCATTCTTCCTTTTGTGATTCTCCTCTCCTAATTTTTCTTATCATTGAGACAACTTTTTCTCTAGCAGTCATGTCCTCATCTCTGCACACATACCAAGAAAGTTGGTCTGGCTATTGGGCGAGAAGTATGCATTTCTCTGGACAGCCTTCTTCACTATCGTCTCCTCACTATTCAGGTGTTTCATATATAGCAGGGACTGGAATACGTTCCTTGAGCCGTGTGTTACGTAAGGGTGTATCTTGATGTAAAACCACATTGGAGCACTGAACTTTATTATTGTAATGACACTTCTTTTCAACTCATGGCTGGGTCTTGATCATTTCCCCTTACAACTACAGGACCTACTCACATGAGGTGTTTCCACTATTTTACAAGGGAGGACCTGGCTCAATAGCAGCAAGTCATCTTCAACAACACCTGTGATAACTCCTTTACAAATCTATACAGTACCAGATATTTCTGATCCCAGGACAGATCTTTCTCCACTTCATCATTAAACACAGAAATCAGGGAAACTGAAGCTGGCTGGAGAAAGCGACAACTGGAAGCAGACAAAGACTCCTTGATCTGCTTCGTGGGACCACGCCAATGCTCCAGGACCACTTGGTTTACCATTAGTGATAAAAACTGCGGAAAGAGCAGCTCAGCTGGTGAGAAAGCAGCGCTATGAAATAATGGAGGCGGGTGATAGTAACATTTTCAAAGATGATAAGATGTTTCCATTTGATCCTACATTTACGTGGTTCATCTCAACCAACACACACAATGGGCTGCTGGGTTTGGGTGCACTGCTCACCAGAAACTTCGTGAATAGTTTTGGCAATCTGCTTTCCGTGGCCAGTCTTGGGAGTCACATGTGTGAGATATTCATTGCCAGGCTCAACCATGATGACATAATGATCTTTCACCATCATCCTCGAACTCCATTTCTCATGGTGATCTCTTGATTAATGAGAACTGCTTAATGGTAACTATTTGAATAATTTCAAGTGCGCCAACTTACCCAGGTCTCCCCTACATTACAGTACAGTAACACAACATTGAGAAATGAAATGAGAAAAGGCTGATAATCAATATAAACATAGCACCATACTCATCTGCAACAAGACAACTTAAATGAAATAAGAGATATGAAAAAAAGTTGATAAACACTGAACAGAACCTTGCACCGCCACAGCGGCTGTTTGGCTAGTACTGTAGGTAAATTTAAAAATTTCAGTAGAAAATGCGGCAGACTAAACCTCGACATATCAGCTTCAAATTTGGCATGGAGTCTTGGTGCTGTAAGGGCTGTACGAAATTGTTTAAAACAAATTCCTGCCCCCTGCTGCCTATTTTTCAGTGTTAAGTGGTTTGTGTTTGGGGCCTGGAATTGATTAATCTATATGACGAATGCTATAACGAACAAGGTTCTAGAAACCAATTGAATTGATTATATTTTTTACGTATATATATATATATATATATATATATATATATATATATATATATATATATATATATATATATATATATATATATATATATATATATATATATATATATATATATATATATATATATATATATATATATATATATATATATATATATATATATATCTTGTACTGTTACACACACTCATTTTTACTGTTCTCAAAATATTTGCTGTTCTTTTGCAGATGACTCGGAATGTTTCCCCAAAAGTCCCACTACTTTCATGCAGGTGAGTTTTTTTTGTTTTTTTTTTACGGGATTAGCCCACCCGGGCACAGGTCACTAAACCACATCAGGGCCTGGGGGGCGAAGATGTAATAATAGTACTGTAATAGTAATAATAATAATAATAATAATAATAAAGAACCATAAAGAAATACAAAAATGTAAAAAAGATCAAAAGTGAGAAACAATATATGTATGTTGTGTTGTCAATAGTAAGTGAAACAATTGAGACCCTGCAATTGTGTGTAAATGAGGCAGAAAGTCAGATCAGCAACCTGAGACTTTGTCACAATTTTTGTAATGCCATGTGGCAGCAGGGTCTACCATAGACACCACATTATGTACTATACCCTTAGTCTATTCCGACACCCATCTGTTGTTCTCCCACTACTGTATTCCCCCCTTTATATCCTCTTACATCCCTTGTGTGTTTGTGTGCTCCATGAATGAAACCTGAAGACAAAACTGGTTATAAGTTGTCACATTCTACTCGAATCTTTCCCTCTCGTAGGACGGCAGGACAGTAGAAGGCAGCAGAATGAACGCCGCCGACACAGACATCATCTTCCGTCAACAGTTGAGCATACGGTCACCCCGTTACAGCACCTGCTCACACCTACAGACACACAAACAGTCGATCTCTCAACCTTTTCTACTCCAACAGTCACGCCTACATCCACATACATACAGACAATCGCCTCTGTCTGTACGCAAACAGTCCAACCTATTTTCACGCCCATAGTCACACCAGTGACATCACTGCCCACGTACACCAGAAGGCCTGCTGATGTGGTAAGCAATCTTATCTGGTAGTAATCTTTTATTTTATGGCTGTGAGTGAACTATCTGATTGTGAATGAGTTGGATTATATGACTGAAGGGTAAGATATATTTTCTGATATATTATCTGATGGTGAATACGATATCCTTGTGAGTACAGTACTGTATGCTTGTATGGTGCTATATATATATATATATATATATATATATACAGTATATATATATATATATATATATATATATATATATATATATATATATATATATATATATATATATATATATATATATATATATATATAAATAAAGACAGATTGATTAATAGAGATACTGAAGCTAGATACCCTGTAGACTGGGAGAAAGAGAGAAAATGATTCCCACAATACAGTACTTACCTTCCTCAGGTACGATTTGTGTGCATCAGTGACACTCACAACAGAACTGACTGTCTGCATTACAGTATACCCGACGGTGATGTGCTGCTTCATGGGGGCGACTTCACCATCAGAGGGGATCCACACAACGCACACGTCTTCAATCAGTGGTTGGGTGAGCCCATTTCAACCTTATTCTTGAGTTTTTGTTTTCATATTAGTGTAAATTGATTTCCCTGTCCCCCATACAGAAAGTGTGAGAGGAGTAAAGATAAAATGTATAATATACAAATCAATAAACTTTGGAGGTTGTTAACATAGGATACTTGTACTAGAGCCATAAACAGTATCCAATTACTGTACTTTAGGTTTCATATTTTCTTCCTGTTGGCAACAAAAAATAAGAATATATAATTCTAGATTCCCTACTAGAGTATATTGCTGTAAAAAACTCTCCTATAAAGGTATTGTTCAAGGTATCTTTTCAGCTTGTATTCTTGTGACAAGCAGGGCACCACACGGCAGTGTACTGGGCCCGTTGTCGTTTATTTGTTTTATAAATGACATGCCAGAAGCTATACACTCCTCCTTATAAATGTTTGCAGACAATGCCAAGCTATTCAGGGAAGTTAAGAAACAAACAGACTGTGAAGAGCTACAGAAAGATCTTTGTCAGCTTCAAGCGTGGTCGAAGAAATGGTTGCTAAGATTCAATGTCACCAAGTGTAAAAGGCTGCATCTAGGTCATACCAACAGTAAGG